CGCAGAGCCTAGAGAGGTCACCCAAAAAAATCCCCCTGGACTGACTGCTCCTTGATACTGGCGCGCCTTTTTCATACAGTACGAATTGTCCCATTGGATTGTCTGTATGATGTTAGCTTCTAATTAACGTAAAAACGAATAATAAAGGCAATTTATTTACACATGTTTAGTTGTCCAGCGGGGAAACCTATCCAAATTTTTGAGGTGGGCAATTCCAACGTCACTTGCATTTCACTTTTATGCATCCTTTTCCAATCTTAGTGGTGTACTTTTTACAAAAAAAGAGAATAATTCTTTCATTTTTGGTTTGGAAATACTCAATATATAAGGCATTAACCGTATGGTATTATGAAAATTAAATGATACTAAATATGAGCATGGCACTGTTGGACAAAACCGTCACTCGCATTTCGTGAAAAGGATATGCCGAAAATTGTCTTGCTTATAATTGAAAAGTTTCCTCAAACCAAATGTACCACAACCAAATGGTTATATGTACTAGATACCTACCATACTGAAGTATAAATGAGGGTAACAAAATATCTTCAACAACTTACTGTATGTAAGCTAGAGGGGAAAAGTGCCGTCACTCCCATTTCCGTCACTCGCATTTCAGTTTGTCCGTTCGTTAAGTTGTGAACAAAATGAAGCATTTCTTCCACAACTCTTATCAAGTCTTGGCTATGTCTTTTAAAACAATTTATAAACCTTTTCAGTGTGCTCCAAATACAAATTGCAATGAAAAAAAGTATTTTAAGTTACAGGGGAAAAATGCCATCACTTGCATATTGTCACTCGCATTTCAGTTAGTCCATTAATTAAGTTTTGAACAAAGTGAAGCTTTTCCTCCACAATTCTTACCAAATCTTGGCTTTGTCTTTTTAAACAACCTACAAAATTGTTTGAAAGCACTCATAATATTACTAACAATGAAAAAACGTAATTTCTGAAATATTTACGAATGTACTGTTATTTAATAATCCACAGCCACAAAGGCACTAGCTCTCTAGTTTTTGCAGTCCCATAATTAAGATATTAAAAACTGAATCATTTTCATCCATTCATGTATTATTTGAATGAACTCACAATCTTAGCAGCAGGAGCATGAATTATTTCACCAAAATTGACTTTTAACAGTTAACCCTCAAGTTTTATACGTACCGGTACGTAGGATCAGACTGTTCATATATAGAAATAAATTTGGAACTTTCCTGTGGAAATGCAATACTCTATAGGGTAAAACCTACTACTCTTTACTGTTTCTCTTATCCCTTTAAAATCATAATTTCTCCTGATTCTTAACTTGTTTTCTTAATTCGTTCTTTTATAGAGTAGTAGATTGAGTACATAATGTTTATAATTTTCCATTGATTAAGACGTTAAAAAGGAGCACGAATTTTCATAACTGAAGTTTGTAATCATAGTAATTGTCGTTAAATTTTGATTTTGATTGGTTAACTCATTACTTTTAAATCCCCCCCCCCCCAAAAAAAAGAACAGGGAAGGATGTTGTGTTGCAAATTTTGATAATTGATGTTTATAATTGTCGTTAAATTTTGATTTAGATTAGTTAACTCATTACTTTTGAATCCTAAAAAAAAAACAGAATGGGAAAGGATGTTATGACTAGTATGCACATTACATAATAAACCAGTCAGGCGTTACTTGGGCCATGCTGCCTGCTGCATGCGACGTAGTACAGTCAGTCATTTCGTGAACCTATGTGGTTTGTCTTCCGTGTCAACCCTTTCCCTGGCCAGGCGGTTAAACTGTGGGAGCAACTGTAGAAGGCAGGGCCACGCCGGAAAATTTTTTTTTGTAGTTGGATGCGATGTGAGGAGTGGGGTCATTGGGCACTCTTTTGAGAATGAAGCAACATTGGTATATATGCTAAGGCGTCCGTACGGTATGAACGTAGATGCATATAAAAAAATAGAGGGCGGTATAAAGAGTGAATGAGCGTGAAGTAAATTGTGATAAATAGAGGGTGCTATAGAGAGTGAATTATTGACAAGTACGCAGTATATATAGCGAGTGAGACGGCTTGGGATGTCTTGGATGCGCGGATGCACGGTGGATGAGCATGAAGTCATCAATAGAGGGCGCTTTATTTACCCCAGGACCTTATGCCTTTACCCTATAGGACCCACTACTTTATTTCCCTATCTAAAACCAACCCCAACCTACCCACTCATTCCATCTTGGATGCGTGGATGCGCGGATGCTGGGTGGGCATGAAGTAAATTTTAATCAATAGAGGCGTGTTATTGGAAGCCTGGATGCGTGGATGCGCGGATGCGGGGAGGGCATGAAGTAAATTGTAATCAATAGAGGGCGCTATAGAAAAGCAAGGATGCATGAAGTTCATTTAATCAATGGAGGGCGCTTTATTGGATGCCTGGATGCACGGATGCGGAGTGGGCATGAAGTAAATTTTGATCAATAGAGGGCGCTATAGAAAACCACGCAGCCATGGATGCGCGGATATAGAATGGAGTGGCCCTATATAAAATAGAGGGCGCTATAATCAATAGAGGGCGTTTTATTGGATTCCTGGATGCGCGGATGCGTGGTGGGCATGAAGTAAATTGTAATCAATAGAGGGCGCTATAGAAAAGCAAGGATGCATGAAGTTCATTTAATCAATGGAGGGCGCTTTATTGGATGCCTGGATGCACGGATGCGGAGTGGGCATGAAGTAAATTTTGATCAATAGAGGGCGCTATAGAAAACCACGCAGCCATGGATGCGCGGATATAGAATGGAGTGGCCTGTATTCTATAGATGTGCCAAACTGTGCAACTCCAGAACCCAATTGATGGTAAATTTATACTAGGATACAACAAAGCACACTCACCCTCTTTAAAGCGATAGAAAAATAGTCCCCCCCCTTTTTGCAATCGTGTAGTGTAGGGCCCCTTTTTTGTTTCAATCAAATAAGATTCAAGAATTTTTTTAAATTTTTCGTAAAATTTCCAGAGTCATTTGCACACGTTTGCGTATCAAAATTTCAACATTAAATTTCACACAAAAAAGACATCTAAAAAAGGCAGCACTTTCTGATTAGCATATAAAGAGGTAGCCCCACTAGTGTGGCCGCGGTATGCTGCGCTGAACAGAGGTTCAGCGCAGCATACCAGATGTTGGTAAAACATGGAACGGTGGAACGGTGGTCTAATCTAATTCTACCTCCATGATATAATAAAGAGGGTGAGTATGCTTCTAAAGCAAAAAAAAAACACTAGTACAAACCATGGAGGTCTAATTCTACCTCCATGTACAAACTAAGCCTAAATGTGAAAATCAAAATTTGACAAAGTTCGACAGTTTTTGTACATGGTGGAAGTGTGGCCTTTATTTACGGAGGTAGGGGCCTAGTCACGAAAGACGTGATAGCTAATAAAGAGCCGCACAATGAATTTGACGCCATATGAGACCGGCCGGTGATCTACAAAGGACAAGTTGTCGTCTTTATAGACAGCATGATTTCTTTTGTAACGTCGCGGTTCACTTGACTTATATTTTGACCACCACCACTGACCACGGTTTACTACAATTTTTCTAACGTCGTGGTTACTTTTATAATGCCGCAGATCACTTTTTCGGCGTTTTTGAAATAATAATCACTACGGAAATGTGTCCCTTTTAGAACATCACAATAGGTGTACGTGACCAAAATGCGCGTCAACTGTTGATGCAATGCGCGCGTATTTACGCGTAGAACGTTCGTATTATACGCGGCCATCTTCGTGAGACCGGGGGCGAATTGGTCAATATGCAAAGTCTACTGTGTGAATGGTGTATGCATATCCGCTATCCAGTCTTTATATAATCAGTGGGCCTAGTCCAGTAAATTGGCCACATGGGGCTATTTTAAATTCTAGAAGAAGTAGCGGTAATTCTTACTTTTAGGACCCCGTTCCTATATAGGAAGGGAAAGACTCACAAAAACGTTTGACTAAATGACACTCAAAATTGACATTCTGATATTTCTTGGCACATCTGAACAATTGGCAATGACACCTTCTTGAATATCAGTAGGTTTAATTTTGTGGAAAGAGGGCAGAGCTTTGATTCATGAGGGAAATTTGGTTGTAAATGGCGACGATGACAACCACTCCAGAAAACAGACTCAAAAACCAAGATGGCAAACGTGAAAGCTCGATGCGATGAAAGCTCGATGCTGATTGGCTGATAAAAAATAAACATCTTATTTATTTTTTTTAGCAGCCAATCAGCATCGGGCTTTCATTATGTAAGGCTTTCACTTGTGTTGTGAGGACTACACACTGATCTCTATATAAAGACTGGATAGCTAATACAGAGCCGCACAATGTACGAATTTGACGCCATATTGGTGAGACCAGCTGGTGATCTACAAAGGACAAGTTGCCGTTTTTATAGACAGCATGATTTCTTTTGTAACGTCGCGGTTCACTTGACTTATATTTTGACCACCACCACTGACCAAGGTTTACTACAATTTTTCTAACGTCGTTGTTACTAAAATGCCGCAAATATAACTTTTTCGGCGTTTTGAAATAATAATCACTACGGAAATGTGTCCCTTTTAGAACATCATAATATGTGTACGTGACCAAAATGCGCGTCAACTGTTGATACAACGCGCGCGTATTTACGCGTAGAACGTTCGTATTATACGCGGCCATCTTTGTGAGACCGGGGGCGAATTGGTCAATATGCAGGGTCTACTGTGTGAATGTTGTATGCATATCCGCTATCCAGTCTTTATATAGAGATCAGTGGGACTACAACATGACGTCTGACTCGACTGCGAAAAAAAGGTAGGAAAGTCACATTTTCTTTGAAAGTCATGAAAGTGCTTTCAAAAATTACAACTAACATGAGTTTATATGAAGAAAAAAAGACTGCTTTAGCCTGCAAAAGTCACTTTGGTACTGGACAGTCATCTGCAAAAGTATGTTTTGAACAGAACTCGTAAAAAATAGAGGTGTCCTAAAACTAAAAGTAAGGATTACCGAAGTAGCATAGGGTACACGAACCTCATCTACAATCAGACTTGAAGCTGCATCGCCATCGATTATAATGCAAAGTCCATCTTCGTCATCAGAATGATCTTCCGTGCCAGCAGGTAAACCTGCACATGACGGGGGAAGATTAAGATTTTCTGCCATTTTTGTTTACGAAAGGGCATTTGCAGGCCCAAAGAGCTAGCACTTGCAGCACTTGATCACGTCAATGCGCTTACACTACGTTCATGTGGCACGATCATCTAGGCACTAGGGGTTCAACCACATCTCATACCATCATAGTGACCGTTTTAGCCGATTTTCGGCTAACTTTGAAAGATTTTTTGTCAAAAAATGAGTTTGACAGAAAATTTGACAGAATGGATTTTTTTAGCAGATTTCTGGAAGAATTCTGCAAAAATGGTTATTTAACAGAAAAACATAGCAAATTTGAAAAAAAGTAGATTTATTTTTAAAAAAAAACTTCAATCTTTTCAAACACACTCGTGCAAAATAGGACAGGTTGCCTTGTCTATGTACTGAGGTTTACTGGGAATCAGTGACGGAACCTCGTTTTGACTTAAATTTACACAATCCTTTAGGCCTATATGACTAAAGATTGTTTATAATGTAATTTGAATCTTAATTAAGGCAATATTACAACATATACATGTGATTTTAAGTGTGTATAGTGTATTTCGAGTAATTCATGGGAATTTGGCAGATTTTTGATAAATCTGACAGATTTTTGAAGTGCATTTAGCAGAATTTGGCCATGACCTTACGGTCATCCTGCACACCATGCTGAGCGTACATCACATACCCGTACCTAGCTCGTACTGGTCCGGTACGAGGGTGGAAGTTTAAAGCTATAAGTCCATCATTTGCAGCCATCCGAAAAGTAACTGGTGTCATTATTGTTGAAAAATATATTTGGTTGAAAGATAGTAATTAAGGCTAAGGGGACTAAACTCCCTGTGAAATTATTCTTTCTGGCAAGCTGTCATTTTGGAGTAATCAACGAAAGAAGGCCTTTGACGCACCGTAGGAACATTTAAATTAGTAGTTCGTTTTGTTATTCGGCGAAAAGCGCGCGTAAGCGCAAGCATTGGCACGACGCGCGCACACGTACGAGGGCGCGGTTGCTATAATTCGTCGGGTCAGTGCCAACCTCGTCCCCAGGGTGTCGAGCAGTACGCGCCCACCACTACCTGCTCTCTCACCCTGGTATTGGATCATTTACATGTGCAAGATTTTCGCACACGTATGCAAATGAGGAACAGTCTGGTGCCTGGATATCCGTTACACATTAGCGTTTGTTTTTGTATGCGGTGTCTGGGGTAAAAACAGAGTCAATTCGTAGCAGCGCGAGCACGGCATGAGTTACGAAAACACGATTTTTGAAATCAAACTGTTACGATCTTATCCAGACAACATGCAGTATCATATTTCATATTAATATGAGCAAATTGGAAAGGAAATTAGTATTTTCGAGGAGGCGTGGACGAATGATCGCGAAAACACGTACTGCACGTTTTGAATAATAGCACCAAGTACGCGATAAAAATCCATTACTAGCCAATTGCGGTATCCAATCAGGATACAGGAAGAAAGTTTCCTATCCATGGTTTACTATTGGAAACGCGGTTGGAAATAAAGTAAGCACTGGGGACGAGGTTGGGTCAGTACGCGACATCGACATCACGTACGTATGAGCTCCGTGCGCTACCAAAAGAGGGCGCCCTTTTACCTAGCAACGACGTCCCATGGGCGGTACATTTCGCTGGTTGACGCGCACCGTTCCTTGTGTGTGACGCGCGTACACGTACACAAGGGGATTTGTTCTATGTACACGCAGTGGCCGCGCACCCCCAACTGTACTTCCTTTGCCGGTGAGACTTGTGGACGGAGCGGATATAGAGTATACAAATATTGAATGCTTCGAGTGGTTTAGTAAAACTAGCCTCCCTCGGTGATCCATGGACATTCTATTTTCCCGAGGCGAAATAGAATGCTCCATGGATCACCGAGGGAGGCTAGTTTTACTTCACCACGAGATAAAGCAATCAATATTTGTTTTATAACACTTCAACTACAGATTCTGCTTGGTTATAATATTTTAAATTATTTAAATCTGAACACAGTTGAAATAAACTTCAATTTCAATACAAAATTGGTGGAAAATGTATTTCTCTCTCCCAACTACCCCTTCGCGAAATGTTTGAACCCAACTCTGTGGTGCGCTCTCTTTGGAACAAAACGCGCTGCGTGCAACGCGCAACGCGCACACCAGCATGCATTTGCACACAAATGCCGCGCCGTGGAAATAGTACTTTGGTTGCTAATGGTCTAGTACTTTGGTTGCTACGGGTATAGTACTTTTAGCCGTGCACAGAAAGATAGCAAAAATAGAAAGTATCATGTGACTCGCTCTCGGCCAATCAAGACACAGAATCTGCGGGTGAGGTGTTTTAATATACAAATATAACATGGTTTGAGGGTGGACAGTCGATATTGGCTCCCGAAGTATGGGAAGTTGACAAACTAGTTCCCCAGGCGAAGCCGAGCGAACTAGTTTGTCAACTAGTTTGTCAAGAATATTGTTGCTAAACTTCAATTACTAGTTCGGTTCGTTTGCAATATAATACAGTTACTACAGTTGTAAATACAGTTGTTTGCAATGTGTACAACTTTCTTTTGTACAGGAGACATCTTTACACGGTCTATACATTTTCTCCAGTACTACGGTGGCCCCCAACTGTCACGGCAAAAGCAAAAGCGCCACGGCAAGCGCAAAAGCGCCACGGCAAGCGCAAAAGCGCCGCGGCAAAAGCAAAAGCGCCGCGGCAAAAGCAAAAGCGCCGCAGCAAAAGCAAAAGCGCCACGGCGAAAGCAAAAGCGCCACGGGTTTATTGGGAAGGGGCGTAATCATACATGCCGCTACTACATCAAAAATAACAGCATTGCTGTTGAAACCCCTTAGCCAGAGTCAAGTTGTCATCTGGAAACCATTACCCTTTAACTCAACATGGTGACCTTGACCTTTGGCCTTTGACCCCAGAACCAGTCCCAACATGCCTGTACCAATGGGAAACCCCCTACCGAAGTTAGACACCAAAATTTCATTTCTAACTCAAGTTATCATTCGGAACCATTTACATTTAACTCACCACGGTGACCTTGACCTTTGACCTTTTGACCTCAAAACCAATCCCCACTTGCCTACCCCTAAGGGCAACCCCCTACCGAAGTTACAACCCCAAACAACATTTCTAACTCAAGTTATCATCCGGAAAACATTTACCTTTCACTCACCATGGTGACCTTGACCTTTGACCTTTTGACCCCAAAACCAATTCCAACTTGCCTACTCCCAAGGGCAACCCTCTACCAAAGTTAGACACCAAAATCTCATTTCTAACTCAAGTTATCATCCAGAAACCATTTACCTTTAACTCACCACGGTGATCTTGACCTTTGACCTTTTGACCTCAAAAGCAATCCCAACTTGCCTACTCCTAAGGGCAACCCCCTACCGAAGTTACACCCCAAACAACATCTCTAACTCAAGTTATCATCCGGAAACTAAGCTACCCGGAAGGACGGCCGGACGTCCGTCCGTCCGTCCGTCCGTCCGTCCGTCCGCCCGTCCGCACTGACATACGGACGGACGGACGGAAGGACGGACGCCATAGGCGATGACAATACCCCTCGAGCCTCTCGGCTGAGGGGTAAAAAATTAAATGGGAAGGAGAATGGCCGCCACCAGGAATTCTTATTAATCACAGACTTTAATTCTTTGAGAAGTGATTTTATGGCTGAGAAAATATTCTTTGAGAAGTGATTTTATGGCTGAGAAAATAGCAAGGAAAACCGGTCAGTGCAAGCAACGTTCAGGGAATAATTCGTCGATATTAATTTATTGTAGGATAATTCCAAGAGAGTTGCTGCCGTGAATCAGAGTTTATAAAGGAAAGGGAAAGTGGGACTCGCTATCAGCACCATCAGGGCCGTTCCTCATTTCTTTACATTTCGTGGGATGCAAACAATTACGAGGACGGGAGGCTCTGTGAGCTGATGCATTTTTTGAAGAGGTTTTTTTTCCTTCCGACTAGTATGCAGAGAAGAGTTTCGTTAATTTGAGCCTTAGTTCACCGGTGTGTAAACCAGTGTAGGCACACAAGTGAGCTGCCCAGAGTGTATGAGTTAATTTTTTTTCTTTTTCAGTATATCATACACATCTAGGAAGTCAATTAAGGCTCTCCCGCAGGGCTGCGGTAGTGGGTGGGTAAGGCTTGTCAACACGTAACTCGCCCGCGGGCCCCATTAGGTTAGAAATTCCCAGAGAGCGGGAATTTCAAAACTCTTCCCTGAACGTTGCTTGCACTGACCGGTTTTCCTTGCTATTTTCTCAGCCATAAAATCACTTCTCAAAGAATTAAAGTCTGTGATTAAAAGAATTCATGGTGGCGGCCATACTCCTTTCCATTTAATTTTAGATGTAGTGGCGGCATGTATGATTACGCCCCTTCCCAATAAACACGACTGAGTTGAAGAGAACTCACAAATCGAGAAATGGATCGTTCTATTAGACAGTTGCAACGCTTTCGACAGAGGAGGAGAGGAGGTTAGGCTGTGGATTTCATGTAAGAAACGTAACAAAGGCAAAGACTTTGGATATAGAATAAGAAAGAAAGAAATTAACTTTAAAAGGGGGGGGGGGTAAGGGAGAGACACTAAACAAAGGAGACGTGTTATCGTTCAGATGCACAGTTCTAAGCTCTTCTATGAAAATTTGGTGGCTCTGAAAAGAGCCGTTTGGTTTGTTTCGAGTGAATACAGAACTATTTGCGTCGCCCGCCCCTTGATGCCGGAAACAAGCCCTCTTTCTGCCCTGCAGGCTGATTCTGCGATGATGTGGAAGACTGTCCACAGGGCAACTCATCATCGCTATCGCTAAGCATCATGAGGTCTTGTTCGACTTCTTGGTTTCTTGAGCCGGGGGTGGGTGGGCAAATGAGTTCTAGGTTCTAAGTTGATTTCTTTCTTTCTTATTCTATATCCAAACTCTGGGCAGCTCAATATTGTGTGCCTACACTGGTATACACACCGGTGAACTCATGGGCGTCGCCAGGATTTTTTTCTAGAGGGGGCAAAACATATTTTTCCCAAAAAATTCTTGTATTTCTGAACAAATTCTCGATTTCTCAGTTTTAGACGGGGGCAGGGACATTTTGCCCCCCCCCCCACCTCATAAAATTTACACCACTATGACTTCGCGCCTC